TCCCCAAATGTCTGCAACAGCCAGGTCTGCGCCAGGTGCAGCTAGGAATCAAGAATTCCACCCAGGTCTCCCCCAGGAGTGTCAGGGTCCAAGGACTTAGGCCATCTTCCTCTGCCTTCACAGGTGCCTTAGCAGGAAGCTGGATCAGAAGCATAGTAGGGGTGAGTGCTGTGGCATAGTGATAAAACTGCTGCCTGTATTGCCAGCATCCCATAGGGGCACCGGTTGAGTCCTGGCTCCTCCACCTCAATCCCTCTCTCTGCTATAGCCTGGGAAAACAGTGGAAGATGACCCAAGTCCTTGGCCCCTGCACCTGTGAGGGATACCCAGAAGAAGCTCCTGGCTCCTGGCTTTGGATGAGCCAACTCTAGCCATTGCAGTCATTTGAGGAGTGAACCAGCAGATGGAAGACCTCTCTCTCTCTCTCTCTCTCTCTCTCTGCCTCTGACTCTCTATAGCTCTGTCTTTCAAATAAGTAAATAAATCTTTAAAAAAAAAAAAAAAAGGAAGCAGCAGCAGCAGCATCGTAGTAGCCAGGTCTCAAAACTAGCACTCTGATATTGGATGCTGGAGTTGGTGCCCACAAGTGGCAGCTTAATGTGCTGTGCTAAAGCAATGGCCCCAGATCTCAATATCATCCACTGAAAGAGTAGAAGAAGTTTTGAGGGGGAGTGTTTGGCCTAGCAGTTAAAAATCGCCCTGAACACCTGCATCCTCTATTGGACTGCCTTGGTTCAAGTTCTAGCTCTACCCGCGCGCCCCCCCCCCCCTTTTTTAAGATTTATTTATTTATTTGAAAGAGATACACAGAGACAGAAGGAGAGGCAGAGAGAGAGGTCTTCCATTTGCTGCTTCACTACCATATTGGCTACAATGGCTGGGCAATCCGAAGCTAGGAGCCAGGATCTTCTTCTGGGTCTCCCATGCGGGTGCAGGGGCCCAAAGACTTGGGCCATCTTCTACTGCTATCCCAGGCCATAGCAGAAAGCTGGATTGGAAGAGGAGCAGCTGGGACTCGAACTGGTGCGCATATGGGATGCCTGCACTGCAGGCAGTGGCATTTACCGCTGTGCCACAGCTCTATTCTTTTTTTTTTTTTTTTTTTTTTTTTGACAGGCAGAGTGGACAGTGAGAGAGAGAGACAGAGAGAAAGGTCTTCCTTTTCTGTTGGTTCACCCTCCAATGGCCGCCGCGGCCGGCGCGCTGCAGCCGGCGCACCGCGCTGATCCGATGGCAGGAGCCAGGAGCCAGGTGCTTTTCCTGGTCTCCCATGGGGTGTAGGGCCCAAGCACCTGGGCCATCCTCCACTGCACTCCCGGGCCACAGCAGAGAGCTGGCCTGGAAGAGGGGCAACCGGGACAGAATCCGGCGCCCCGACCGGGACTAGAACCCGGTGTGCCGGCGCCGCTAGGCGGAGGATTAGCCTAGTGAGCCGTGGCGCCGGCCTCACAGCTCTATTCTTGATTCTAATTTCCTGCTAATGTGCAGCAGGTAATGGCTAATTACAGCAGGTAATGGCTCAAGCAATTGGGTCACTGCCACCCGTATGGGAAAACTGGATTGAGTTTCTGGTTCCCAACTTGGCTTGGCCAGTTTGCACCCACACAGGCACACAAAATATAAAGTACTGCTTGAAAACTAGTTTTACCATTAATTCTCATAGTACAACACATTAAGGACAGAGGTCCTACATGGGGATCAAGTGCACAGTGACTCCTGTTGTTGATTTAACAATTGACACTTAGTCAGTGATCACCCGAGGCTCTTGTCATGAGCTGCCAAGGCTATGGAGGCCTCTTGAGTTCACAAACTCTGACTTTATTTAGGGCCATAATCAAAGTGGAAGTTCTGTCCTCCCTTCAGAGAAAGGTACCTCCTTCTTTGATGGCCTGTTCTTTCCACTGGGATCTCACTCACAGACATCTTTCATTTAGGTCATTTTTTCCCACAGTGTCTTGGCTTTCCATGCCTGAAATACTCTCATGGGCTTTTTAGCTAGATCTGAATGCATTAAGGGCTGATTCTGAGGCCAGAGTGCTGTTTAGGGCATTTGTAATTCTATGAATCTGCTGTGTATCCTGCTTCCCATGTTGTACCATTCTCTCCTTTTAATTCTATCATAAATAAGACACTTGTCTTTATGTGATCCCTTTATAATCAGTTATGTACTTAAACTGATCTCTTTAACTAGTAAGATGGTATTGGTACTTGCCAACTTAATGGGATTTGGATTCCAATGGCAAGTTTTTAGCTTTACCCTTAGGGGTAAGTCTGAGGGAGCGTGTGTCAAACTGTGTATCTCCTTCCTGTCTTATTCCCACTCAGGGATCAATTTTCCATTGGATTTAAACACCTAAGAATAATTCTGTAAATATATAATTTTTTCTTTTCTTTTCTTTTTTTTTTTTTTTTTGACAGGCAGAGTGGATAGTGAGAGAGAGAGACAGAGAGAAAGGTCTTCCTTTTGCCGTTGGTTCACCCTCCAATGGCAGCCACAGCTGGCGCGCTGCGGCCAGCGCACCACGCTGATCCGATGGCAGGAGCCAGGTGCTTCTCCTGGTCTCCCATGGGGTGTAGGGCCCAAGCACTTGGGCCATCCTCCACTGCACTCCTGGGCCACAGCAGAGAGCTGGCCTGGAGCTGGCCTGGAAGAAGGGCAACCGGGACAGAATCCAGCGTCCTGACCGGGACTAGAACCCGGTGTGCCGGCGCTGCTAGGTGGAGGATTAGCCTAGTGAGCTACGGCGCCGGCCAAATACATAATTTTTTAAAAATTAAAAATATTTTGGAGCTGGTGCTATGGTGTAGTGGTTAAAACTGCCGCCTCTATATATGAGTGCCAGTTCAAATCCCAGCTGCTCCACTTCTGATGCAGCTCTCTGCTGCAGCCTGGGGAAGCAGTGCACTCACCTGAGGGACCTGAAATTAAGTGAGGGGGCCGGAACCATGACACAGTGAGCTGGGCTACTGCCTACTGCACTGATATCCCATATCTAGTCCCAGCTGCTCCTCTTCTGATCCAGTTCCCTGCTGGTGCTCCTGGAAGGGCAGCAGATGGTGGTCCAAGTGCTTGGGCCCCTGTATCCACATGAGAGACCCTGATGGGGCTCCTGGCTCCTGGCTTTGGCCTGGCACAGTCCTGGCTGTTATGGCCATTTGAGGAGTGACCCAGTGGGTGGAAGATTTTCTGTCTCTCTGTCTCTCTCTGCCTCTCCTCTCTGTAATTCTGCCTTTCAAATGAATAAATATTTTTTTTTTAATTGAGGATTAAGTGAGAATCACTTACTTGGAGCCAGACCTCCAGGTTCCTATTCCAGTTTACTAACTGTAACCCTAGGCAAATCACTAACCTTTGTCTGCTGTAATTTCATGACTGCAAAATGAGAATAATAGTATATGAACATTAAAAGGTTGTTATGGGGGGACTGGCATTGTGTCATAGTAGGGGAAAGCTGCCACCTCCAATGCCAGCATCCTATCTGTGTGCCTGTTCAAGTACCAGTTACTCCACTTCCAATTCAGTTCCCTGCTAATGACCTCAGAACGCAGCAGAAAAAGGCCCAAATGCTTGGGTTCCTTTCACCCACGTGGGAGACCTGGATGAAGCTCGTGGCTCTTGGTTTTGGCTTGGCCCTGCCCTGGCCGTTGCAGTCATTTCAGGAGTGAACCAATGGATGGAAGATCTCTCTCTCCCTTTCTCTGTAGCTCTGGCTTTCAAATAAATAAATAAATACTTTTTTAAAAAAATATTTATTTTATTTATTTGAAAGACAGAGTTAGGGAGAGAGGTAGAGCCAGAGAGAGTCTTCAATCCACTGGTTCACTCCCCAAATGACCACAACAGCCAGAGCTGAGCTGACCCGCAGCCAGGAGCCAGGAGCTTCTTCCGTGTCTCCCATGTGGGTGCAGGACCCCAAGCATTTGGGCCATTTTCCACTGCTCTCCCAGGCGCATTAGCAGGGAGTTGGATCAGACGTGGAGCAGCTAAGACTTGAACCAGCGCCTATATGGGATGCCGGCACTGTAGGTGGCGGCTTTACCTGCTACGCCACAGCGCTGGCCCCCGTCCACCATGCCTTTTTAAAAAGAAGGAAGGAGTGGTTAGAATGTTGGGATAACTGGTAGCTTATTACGGCAAGGAAGTTTTGTGAGGAGCACGAGACCAAAATCGTCAGCATACTGGTCAGTTGTCATTAGTTGACTGCTTTTCTTCACTTGATCTCCTGAACTCTTGGAGTCATTTGGTACATAATTACATGTTGTTCTATTTAATAACAAAGTAATGATCTGGAAGGCCCTTTACAGTCTGCAAAGAGGTCTGACCGTTTCCAGTTCCTGCAGCTTCCCTGAGTTAGATGTTGTCCCTAGAGGGTAAGGAAATCGAGGCTCAAGACGTGATGACCTGGCCAGGCAACACAGCTCGAGCTGCAGTCCTAGGTTTGTTTTTTTTTTTTCCCCTGCATCCGACAGGCAGAGTGGACAGTGAGAGAGAGAGACAGAGAGAAAGGTCTTCCTTTGCCGTTGGTTCACCCTCCAATGGCCGCCGCGGCCGGCGCGCTGCGGCCGGCGCACTGCACCGATCCGATGGCAGGAGCCAGGAGCCAGGTGCTTTTCCTGGTCTCCCATGGGGTGCAGGGCCCAAACACCTCCACTGCACTCCCGGGCCACAGCAGAGGGCTGGCCTGGAAGAGGGGCAACCGGGACAGAATCCAGCGCCCCGACCGGGACTAGAACCCGGTGTGCCGGCGCCGCTAGGCGGAGGATTAGCCTAGTGAGCCGCGGCGCCGGCCCTGCAGTCCTAGGTTTTGTGACACCCAGGCCCTTTTGGTAATCCTGTGGAGCTAATTGGATTGTAAGCTTCTTCAGGGCCGAATCTAATCAGTTATTTCTCTTTGTCCTTTTAGCACCTAGCTTAGCGCTAAAGACATGTGCTGAAAGTGGACTGAGCGAAGATTGGCCGGCCTTGAGAATGACTTGCCCTTTCTCCCTTCTTCCCCTAGCGCCCTCACAAAGCCAATGCTGAGGAGATGACCAAGTACCACAGTGACGACTACATTAAGTTCTTGCGCTCCATTCGTCCGGATAACATGTCCGAGTACAGCAAGCAGATGCAGCGATGTGAGTCCGCTCTGGCCCCCCAGTCCCGCTCCCGGCGGGTCTCCCTTTCCAGTGGAGAGGCCCGCCTGCCCTTCCTCGTGCCTCCCATTTGGGCCAACATCTGATTTCCCTTGGGTGTCAAACTGTGTCTTTTTTCTTAAGTCTGGTTTTCCTTGTTTCCTGATTGTAAATAATAGTGGTTGGACTTCTTCCAGTGAGGTTCAGAACACCGTCCCAAGAGTACTGTGATGACTACAATGGAAGAAGCACTGACCGGGAGGGGAGGCGGAAGGTCCAGGACCCAGCTATTAACTCTTAACGGGCTGGGCGAGTCACTTTTCTTTTGTGAAATGGGCTTGGCCATGTGATCGCTGATTCCTGTCTGACTAAAAGTGCTCTATTTTTTTTTTTAAAGATTTATTTTTATTTATTTGAAAGAGTTACAGAGAGAGGTAGAGACAGAGAAAGAGGTCTTCCATCCACTGGTTCACTCCCTAGATGGCCGCAACAGCTGGAGCTGCGCTGATCTGAAGCCAGGAGCCAAGAGCTTCCTCCAGGTCTCCCACGCAGGTGCAGGAGCCCAAGGACTTGGGTCATCTTCTTCTGCTTTCCCAGGCCACAGCAGAGAGCTGGATCGGAGGTGGAGCAGCTGGGACTAGAATCGGCACCCATATGGGATGCCAGCACTTCAGGCCAGTGCTTTAACCCACTGCGTCACAGTGCCGGCCCCTCTAACTCTGTGTTAACTGGGACTGTAGGGGCCACACAGGACAGCCTCCAGGTGATGTAATCATAGATCTGTGGAGATTCTGTCCCTGCCCCTTCCACCTGAAATTCTAGAACTGGTCCCATTGCAAAAGCCATATTCAGTTTGTGGGACTCTTGGTGATTATTTTAGCTGTGGGAAATTATTTTTTTTTTCCAACTTTAGGATAAAATTATCACACCTAACTTCTCCTATGTGTTATTTATTTATTTATTTTTAAGACTTATTTATTTATTATTTGAAATGCAGAGTTACAGAGAGGCAGAGAGAGAGGTCTTCCATCTGCTGGTTCACTCCCCAAATGGCTGCAACTGCTGGAGCTGGGCCGATCCGAAGTCAGGAGCCAAGAGCTTCTTCCGGGTCTCCCATGCAGGTGCAGGGGCCCAAGGACTTGGGCCATCTTCTGCTTTCCCAGCCTATAGCAGAGAGCTGGATCGGAAGTGGAGCAGCCGTGACTCAAACCAGTGCCCATATGGATGCCGACACTGCAGGTGGTGGCTTTACCCACTGCACCACAGCACTGGCCCCTCCCTTACGTTATTTTAGAAACACTTCATACAATAGAACCGTGTGACAGTGTTGTCCAGAAGATTTGATTGGTTTATGACAGCCTCTATGAAAATGCCAGGAAGTTTATGGTGTTTATGTGTTTTTACTGGCCACAGGTAGTGTGATTCCCATGGAAGACAGTTCTTTATTAGTTCTGATAGCCGTGCAGGTGGCAGTGATGACAGGTCGGTGCGATCTTCCTGGGGCGTTGTTTCCCTGCCCCTCACCGCTGCAGGAGCTGCTGCCCCTTGAAGAGATGTGCTTGCTTTCTGAACTGGCAGAGTCTTGTTTCCTTGTAAGGGGCACACATTCATTCCTTTGCTGTCGGTGGCTTTGGGGTTTCTGTAACCCATTTAAGCCAGGGATCAAGCCTCCCTCTCAACATATTCTCCTTAGAGACGCAGCCTGGTGTCGAATCAGTTTTCATGTCTTAGTTTGAATCCTCAGTGCTATTGCTTTGCTGTGTGTTTTTGAGTGAGTCTTCTAATCTCTGAGCATTAGCACATTATAATTATTATTTATTTTTAAATTTATTTTATTTATTTGAAAGGCAGAGTGACAGAATGAAGGAGAGACAGAGAAGAGATATACACTGCTGGTTTACTTCCCAGATGGCTAAATTGGCTGGGGCTGGGCCAGGCTGAAGCCAGGACCTTGCAGCTCCAACTTGGTCTCTCACATGGGTAGCCAAGGCCAAGTGCTTGAACCATCTTCTGGCTGCCTTGCCAGGCACATTAGCAGGAAGCTGGATCAGAAGGGAAGCAGCCAGGCCTCCATTATGGGATGCCAGCCTGTCAGGCAGCAGCTTAACCTGCTGCAGCCCAGTGCCGACCCTTACTTTCCTTCTTAGAGGAAGATACTGGTGCCTGCTTTGTAATGGGGGATAAATAAGGTAATGTATTCAAAGTACCTACGCTGATGAGTGGTAGCTACTGCTATGAATATTATGACATACTGTTTTTGTTATTTACAAATCTGTCGAGGCAGATACAATATTAGATCCTGAGTAGCATACAGGTTCTCTCCCTCCACTGCAATTTTCCCGAGACCAGCATTTCCTAGATTTGCATTAAACAATTAGGTCCTGGGATTTTCTCTCATTGGAAATGAGGACAGGAAGTTAGAGGCCGTCTTATATAGCATTTATATTATATTATATTATATTATATTGAAGTAACTGGGGAGGATTTAAAAGTATGTGGGAGTTGCTGGCATTGTGGCAGCGTGGTTTAAGCCACCGGTGTCCCATGTGGGATCTCCAGTTTGCTCCCCGGATATTCTGCTTCTGATCCGGCTCCCTGCTGATGCTCCTGGGAAGGCAGCAGAAGATGGCCCAAGTGCACGGGCCCCTGCCACCCGTGTGTGAGCCCTAGATGGAGTTCCAGGCTTCGGCCTGGCCCAGCCTCAGCTGTTGCGGCTGTTTGAGGAGTGAATCAGTGGATGGAAGATCTCTTCCTTGCCCTCTCCCTCCCCCCTCATTCTGCCTTTCAAATAAATAAATCTTTTCAAAAAATTTAAAAAATGAAAGTATATGGGAAGGTATACAGACATAACATGGCTTGGGAACCATCTCTCACAGTTACTAAGGTAAAATAACAGGGGGCCGGCGCTGTGGCGTAGTGGGTGAAGCCACCGCCTGCAGCACTGGCATCCCATATGGGTGCCGGCTCGAATCCTAGTGGCTCCACTTCCAATCCGGCTCTCTGCTGTGGCCTGGGAAAGCAGCAGAAGATGGCCCAAGTCCTTGGGCCCCTGCACCCATGTGGGAGACTCAGAAGAAGCTCCTGGCTTCAGATCAGCACAGCTCCGGCCATTGCGGCCAACTGGGGAGTGAACCAGCAGATGGAAGACCTCTTTCTCTTTCTTTCTGCCTCTTCTTCTCTCTCTCTGTAACTCTAACTTTCAAATAAATATTGGAAAAAAAAAAAAAAAAAAAAAAAGGATGGGAGTGGGTGTTGTGATGCAATGAGTTGAGCCACTGCATGGGATACCTGCATCCCATATTGAAGTGCCTGGAATCGAATCTCACTTCTGCTTCTGATCCTGCTTCCTGCTAATGTGCCTTGGTGGCCGCAGATGTTGGCTCCAGAGTTTGGGTTCCTGTCATCCATGTGGGAGACCCAGTGGAGTTCCATGGCTCCTTGCTTCAGCCAGCCCTGTTACAGGCATTTAGCAGATGGAAGATCTCTCTCTTTTTCTCTGTCTTTCTGCCTTTCAAATAAATAAATATGGTACATACAAAATATTTCAGGCAAAAATTGTATAAAAATAGTGAACATTCGAGTACCCCAGCCTAAGAATGAAGATGTTTTCCATACAGTTGAAGTCTTCCAAGACACCTCCCCTTGATTACATACCCATTCTCTGCCCTGCCCCCACCCTTGTCCCCATCACCAGGATGTAAGCTCTGTCCTGCAGGTAGTGTTTCAACCCATGGATTGCTTTTTGCAATAGTCTTTCTTTCTGTCTTTCTTTCTTTCTGTCTTTCTTTCTAGATTTGTTTTTTATTTGGATGACAGAGTACAGAGAGAGGAAGAGACAGAGAGAGAGCTCTTCCTCCTGCTGGCTCACTCCTCAAATGGCCACAACGGCCGGAGCTGAGAGCTGTTCACAGCCAGGAGCCAAGAGCTGCTTCTGGGACTCCCACGCGGGTGCAGGGGCCAAGGACCTGGGCCATCTGCTGCTTTCCCAGGCCACAGCAGGGAGCTGGACCAGAAGGGGAGCAGCTGGGACTCCAGCCAGCACCCATTAGGGATACTAGCACTGCAGGCCGGGGCTCTCATCCTCTGCGCCATCGCACCAGGCCCCCTGCGATAGTTTTTACTGCCTTCTCTGCTTACATTTACTCCCCGACTTCACCAGCCCCCTGCCCTGTGTATTGCTCCCCGTTAGTTTGAAACTAGCCTTAAAAAGAGAGAAGACGGTTATAGTAGGAAGAAGGAAAGCCCATGGAAAAGTCCTCCCTGGCCTCATAGGTGAATGTCTTCTCACCCATTTCCCTTCTTCTATCTATTAATCGCAGATTGCTGAGCTGGGGATTAATGTTTGATTGGAGCCTGAAGTGAAATATTTTTTTCTCAAGTAAAAAATACCCATTTCTTCCCATGGGGGCTTCGCTCCCAAGTGGGACTATAAACCCAGCTTTGGGAACTGAGGCAGACCAACCCCTATACAGGAGGAAGCAGCCAAAGGGAAATCAGTTGCTCATGGATAAACAGCCTGTGCCAGGGACCAAAGGGACCAAAGTTCTTATTGACAAAGCCTCCCAGTGTTTACTCAAGAAGTGAGGAAGAGAGCCGCCCCTTGCTCCCTTGTGCAGCCCCACTTCCTCAGAGCCCCGGGTCTTGCACACCTTCCAGGTTTAGGGCAGCAACAAGAGTTGGTAACTCTTGTGGTTATTGCAAATGTTGAGCTCCAGCTGTGTCTCGAGATGTTGCCACTGCAGGCCAACTGGGCCGTCCCAGTGTCTCCAAGCCAGGGCTGCTCCTTGCTCTACTTTGGGAACCCCTATTGGTAACGGTGGGTGCAAAGGGGAAGCCAGACAGGAGTAAGAATCTAGTTCGCTCCTGCCTCTGACTTCCTGTGTATCACTGATGTCTCAGCAGTTTCCTATTCTGAAAGAGGAGCTGTAAGGTTCCTCTCTGGCCCTGAGAGTCTGAGCCTCCAGGTGTGCTTTCCTTCCTGCCTTTTTGTTTCATTTGCATTGTTGTTTGCATGTGTTTCCACATCACGGACTAGTTTGTACCTTTAGGACTGAAATAACTATACTGTGGTTGTCATTTGTGGGTGTAGTAGCAACAGCACTGGACTGTGGGGAGTCAGGACTCCTGGTCCTGATTTCTGGTTCTGGCACTGCCTGGTTATATAAACTTGGGCAAGTCAATTGACTTCTCCATATCTGTTCGTTCACCTCCTGGGGTGGTTGTGAGGATCGAATGAGATTGTGTTACATGTGAAAGTAGTTGGGAAAAGAAGCAAGTATGTTTCCGCCAGGTTTTGGGACCGATGAGCCAAAGCTTGCGTACTGACTGCCATTTCCTAGCAGCCCACCTCTGTGAGCCTGTTTCCCCATCTGTAAGATGGGACCAAAGCTTACCACAGAAAATTGCATAAGGGCCAAGTGCTTGGCATAGCAGCTAAGACACTGCCTGGGGTACTGGCATCCAGTACGGAATGCCTGGGTTGACTCCATTGCTGGGCCTATAGCTTCCTGTTACTGTACACTTAGAAGTCAACAGGTGAGGACTCGCGTCGTTGGGTCCCTGCCTTTCTTAGGAGAGACTTGTACTGAGTCCCCAGCTCCCAGCCTCAGCCTGGCTCAGCCCAGCTGCAGCTGTTGCTGTCGTCTGCATAGGAAATCAGCACATAAGAAATGTCTCTGTCTCTTTGCCTTTGAAAAAAAGACTAAAAAAAAGTTGATTGTGTGAGGATAAATGATATCAGGTATTTAAAGCATCGAGCACAGCATCTGTCACATTGTAAGCGCTCAGTGAATGAGTTCATGCAGGTCTCTGTTCTCACTTCCTCGGTCACCAGGAGTGAGGTCCAGGAACAAACTTAGGCTGGAAAAAGGATACTTTCTCCCTAAAGGAATGAACCAACATTTTCCAAGTTGCTAAATGCTTCTTCATGTAAAATTTCTGTTTTCTCAGTAACTAGGTGCTTATTATAGGTAAGGGGCTGTATCTTCAAAGAACTTAAATGACTTGACTCCTTCCCACAGACAGTAAGTAGTAGAGCTTGAACTAGAACTTAAGCCTTCTGAATCTACATTCTGTGTTTTTTTTTTTCCCACCAGCTTGTAAGTATCTTAACAAAAGCTGAAGGGGATTATGGAAACTAACCTTTTGCTTATTTCTTTCAAGTCAACGTTGGTGAGGACTGTCCAGTATTTGATGGCCTGTTTGAATTTTGTCAGTTGTCTACTGGTGGCTCTGTAGGTAAGGAATCTATATCCCCTCCCAAGGGTTGTGCTGGTCTGTCCTCCCGAGGTCTGCCTTTTAGGCCACCATCGTGGTAGGGCTGACCTGTGACCATGTAAAATAGTCCTTAGATCTCTAGAATGTATTTCTGGTTGAGTCCCAGCCCAGGCTTATTGTCCAGCATGGTCCTGACAGATGTCCTTGGCTGTCCTCTCCCACTAGCAAATCTCATATATAGGAATTCCCTGCAGACCTCTGGGGTTGTCAAGATGCTGTACATAAAAGCAATTTGTGAACTGCCAAAGTGCTATAAAAATGGAAGTGCCATCTTGTGTGTCTTAGGAAGGAGTGTGGCAATTACCTTCAGAGGTCAGAAATATTCCCTGCCTAGGCTTAGCTCCCACTTCCACCTATAACTTCTGGGTTCCCGCTAGGACTACTTGAAACCCTTTCTTAACAAATATTTATTTTCCTATCATCATTATTGTATCCCCCTACCAGTATCATCTTGGAAAAAAAGAAGTGCATGGGAAACACACACAGTCACACTGTCCATGGATGACCTTGTTACTACTTGGGTGTTTATTTGCCTTTTCTTTATTCATGTTTATATATCTGGACATAAAATATGTATATGAGGGTACTTCAAGAAGTTTGTGGAAAAATGAAGTTAAAATATAAGTTTATTTTGGTGGAAAACAATTTGAAATGTATGCATAGGTTTTTGTAATATGTGTTTTCCTTGAACATTTTGAAGACTCATGGTATATGGATAGATTTAAAAATTCTTTTTGGACCAAAATAAATTTGTCTTTTACTTCCATTCCCATGAACTTTTGAGGTGTATGTGTGTGTGTATATGAATAATAGTTTTGTGCCTGCATTTTTTTTTTAACCTAGGATTTTTCTATCTGTAGAAATCTTCCACAGCCTGTTTTCTAGTGGCCATAGATTATTCCATGTTATGGCCCTACTGTAGTTGATATAATCTATCTCCTTTTACTGGACCATTTAGATTGTTCCATGCTTTTATTTCTTTGAAAGTTAACAGTGCCAAAAATGCACTTGCATGCATGGGTGTATATTTCTCATGTTTTGTACTCATTTGTACTTTGAGTCAGCCCTATCTTTGGTATCATTTCAAAATTTTTTGACCATGAACCGTAATAAGAAATAAATTTACACAGGTAATCCAGGATACCATGTGTGGGCACACACATGCACGTGAACATACACACACACACAAACACACACTTTTACTCTCTCATCCTAAAGCCAACGTTTTGTAAAAGGGCAGTTACCTTTACTGTTACTCTGATATTTTTATTCTAATCTGTTTCACTTAAAAATACACATGCCAGCCATGACCCACTAAGTCAATTTTAAGGTGGGTTACCATCCTCAGTTTGGAAAATAGTTTTGTTTTATTTTTTCTTTTTGGTAAAAAATATTTTTTGTCTGTGGAAAATAGTTTTTTAAGAGCAGCTGGTATCATGTTTATTCTCTATTGGAATAGGTGAGAGGGAGGGGCCTGGCTTATTGAATAGGCAGGTCCTACCTCTCCCTAGGTTCCCTGGGCTTCTTGGGGGGAGGGGAGAGTGACTTAGTAACAGGCTTATGTTCCTCTCTCCCCACGCCCAGCAAGTGCTGTGAAACTTAATAAGCAGCAGACGGACATCGCTGTGAATTGGGCTGGGGGCCTGCACCATGCAAAGAAGTCCGAGGCATCTGGCTTCTGTTACGTCAATGATATCGTCTTGGCCATCCTGGAACTGCTAAAGTATGCCTGCCTGGCCTTGTCTCTTGGAGGAGCACCTTAGGCCAGGTTCCCACTTCCCTCCCCGGGGATTGGCCCCCTAGTTTGCTTTTCCTAGCGGTATGCTGGCTGGAATGTGTGTGGTGGCTCTGGCCATCATCTCCTTGACGGGGTCTTGGTTTGATCTGAGCCCACGGCAAGATCAGGGCAGGCGCTGCTCAGATCCTGCCTCAGAGTGTCCTTGTGTGGCTGGAGTTGACCCTGGCTATAGAGTAGGAAGAACGGACTTGGTCGGCTTGGTCAGGCCTCTGGAGACACCCGGCCGCTCTTCCACCTTCCTTCAGCCAGTTTCCACGTCTCTGGTGCTTAGAGATACCTGAGGGAGGCAGCCAGCCCGGTAAGCTGGGACCTGGCGCCCTTGGCGCGTCCCATCTCCAAAGAGCCCCCAGACCCCTGACCCCCTTCTGATCCTAGGTATCACCAGAGGGTGCTGTATATTGACATTGATATTCACCACGGCGATGGCGTGGAAGAGGCCTTCTATACCACAGACCGGGTCATGACCGTGTCCTTTCATAAGTATGGAGAGTACTTCCCAGGAACTGGGGACCTACGGGTGAGAACTCTTTTTAGGGGCCAACCAGCTCACCCTCAGCTGCCAGCTCTAACTTTCCTATCCTGTGCCACTAAAAACCACTTCCTGCCTCTTCTGCCATTCAGAACACCTTTCCCCCATCGGGAGTGCCTCCCATGGTCTCTCTCCCTAATTCTGGAGGAGAGGAAAAGTGGGACATAAAGGGTCTCCTACCATTACTGGGCTTCCCTCATGGACGCAGCTGGGTTTCATTATGTGCTGGTCCTGTGCCCCACAAGGCTTGAGTTTTGTGCTAGGAACTGGGACTCTTGTGGATCATCTCAAGGCTTCTGAGCCTTTTTAGGTTACTTTCCCCTTTGGCCCTCTGACTGAAAGCTATGAACTCTTCCTAGAAAAGTGCATGAAACGTGGTGTCTGCTGTAGAACAGTCATCATGGAGCCCATCCATGAAACTCAGGATAAGAATCCTTGGAAGCTCCTTCATCAGACTACCTGCTTCTGTTAGCATGAGTACAGCAAACTGAGCCGCTTTGCGCTGCCTTTGCCCTGAGGTGAAAAAGCGGCACTAATGCAGTTGTTGGCCATGGCAAGTATTAGAATAAGTGAGCACTTGCTATTTGGAAGTGAGTTGGAAGCTTCCCTCTGTGCTTCCTGCCACATCTCCCTGGAGAGGAAAGAAAGGGGGTTGAAGAATGAGCAGCAAAGCTCCCTGGAGACAAAGGTTGATGCGAGTGGGTGTTATTTCTGTGACCTGGCTGCCAGCCAGCTCTACCCCAATGCCAAGGTAGAAGTCTTGTGCTGTGGGGTAGGGTGTGCAGTCTCAGGCCCCATAACCAGCTCTCGGCCTGCGTGCAGGCTCAGTGACGGGATGTGGACTTGCCAGTGAGAACAGCACTAACTCAGTGCCCCTGCTTTGTCCTGGCCCGCCTCTCCCAGAACCGCTGCCTCTTCCCTTAGCCTTCCAGCCCCCATCCTTGAACGCCTTCCTCAGCTTCATCTTTCAGTTTTACTTTAATGTCCTTCTCGATTAGGATATTGGGGCTGGCAAAGGCAAATATTATGCTGTTAACTACCCGCTCCGAGATGGGATTGACGACGAGTCCTATGAAGCCATTTTCAAGCCGGTAAGTGGCTCTATCCACCCTGCGGGCTACAAACAGCAACTTGGTGTAGGGGACTCAGCCCTGCTAATGCCGGTTGGGAAATGAGAGCTTGCAGTCGCGTTGTTTTAGATCTCCGTCTCTTTGGAGTTAGCTCCCGGGATGTAACAGTGGTAGGCTTCCTTGGCTTTTCATGTTTCTTGCTGCCTTACACTGATGTCTACGCTTGAGGAAGTGTAGGGACTCCCTGCAGCCCTTGCGGCCCGGCTTGGTCTGGGAAAGCTCTTCATCAGTGAGCCCGCTCAGAGGTCTGGCAGCGTCTGTGTGGAGCGTTGGCGCGCGGGCTGGCTCAGTGCCTGTGGTTTTGAGGGATGAACGGAGGAGTGAGAGACAAACAGCTACCCTGGGGAGGGTCGTCAGGGGTGATTTCACAGAGGTGAACTTTGACAAAGGAGAAGGTACCCATGGGAAGAAGGAGGTAGGGGACCTACGGTGGGTGGCTCTTAGCAGAGGAAACAGCACCAGGCAAAGTGAAAAGGCGCTCGTGTGCAGCGGTGCGCGGGCCAGTGTGGAACCTGGGAGGAGTGTTGGAGGTAGTGCTAGGAACTCTGTGGCACTGCATGCCAGCCCGAACGGTTAAATCTTCACAGATAAGCAACAAGAAACTGTCAATAGAGTATTAACCTAATAAGCTATGGTCGTCACTCAGTAGACAAGTATCTACTTATGTACCTCGTAGCGCAGGCAACAGAGAAGCCTGAGGTGTGGTCTTTGTCCTCACCTCTGTCAGACCAGAACCTAGGAGAGAGAAAACTATATGCAAAGGTCAAAGGCTTCCTACAGATGCAGAGTGTGTAGGACCAAATGTTTGGAGCAAATGCAACCAGGAGTCAGGAAAGCTTCCTAGAGGAAGTGGCCCTGGAGCACAGTGAGACAGGAAGGATTCCGGAGCTGACCGGGAGGCCATTCTGGGTTCACATTGTTAGCCTAGAGCCAGAAGGATGTTAGATCCTTTCACACTGAAAAGCTGCAGTCCCACGTGGGCAAAGCAGAGCTGCCTCCTGCCTCTCCCTTTTCTCCACCAGGAAGGCAGCAGAGTGTGATAGGAGTAGAAGAAAGTGCTGGGCCCACCCCCACCCCCACCCCCCTTCTATCCCTGGATCTCAAGTAGCTTTCCCTGAGATTGTTGGTGACCAGGATGTGTCCTTTAAGGTCATGTCCAAAGTGATGGAGATGTTCCAGCCTAGCGCCGTGGTCTTACAGTGTGGCTCAGACTCCCTGTCTGGGGATCGGCTGGGTTGCTTCAATCTGACCATCAAAGGTGAGACCAGGTAGCTCAAGGATGGGTGGGCAGGGTCCCGCTGGGTGCTCCTGTGAACTCAGCACCCCTTCTCCCATCAAAGGGCACGCCAAGTGTGTGGAATTTGTCAAGAGCTTCAACCTGCCCATGCTGATGCTGGGAGGAGGCGGTTACACCATCCGCAATGTCGCCCGGTGCTGGACATACGAAACCGCCGTGGCCCTGGACACAGAGATCCCTAATGGTAATGCTCCAGGGCTGAGTGAGGCGGGGTGGGAGCTGGCGGCCCCATGTCCTCAGGTTCTGCACCCCCTTTCCACTGGTCATTCGGCCTGTTTCTCTGAAGGTCTCCTGCCTGGCCCCTCAGGACTGACGGCACAGCCTCTGCCTTTCCCTAGCCCTTCTTGACTCTGTCCCCTCTCCTGCTTTTGGTTTGCACAGAACTTTCAGTGGTTGTGTACAGCTTTGGGGTTCTACTCTGCAGGGTAACTGGGACAGCGAGAGAAGGGAGTACTGAGGCGTCCTAGACCAGGGCCTGTTGACCCTGGTGTGGGTCCTGGAGAGCGGTGTCAGAAACTAGAACTTCCGTGGGCACCCACGTCTCACCCTGTCTTGGAGGCATCCTATCTAGCAGAAGGACCAGCAGGCCCAGATAAATTCACAGATGCTATTCTCAGGGTCGCCTGACTGTCTCCTCCCCTTCCCCAATCAGAGCTTCCATACAATGACTACTTCGAATACTTTGGGCCAGATTTCAAGCTTCACATCAGTCCTTCCAATATGACGAACCAGAACACTAATGAGTATCTGGAAAAGATCAAGTGAGTATACTCCCCAGCCAGCCCTTGAACTCTCCAGATTCTGGTTTGTCCCTAACCAGAGCCCAGCCACCTCTTCTCCCCTTGGCCACAGACAGCGGCTGTTCGAGAACCTGAGGATGCTGCCGCACGCGCCTGGGGTCCAAATGCAGGCGATTCCTGAGGATGCCATCCCGGAGGAGAGTGGCGATGAGGATGAAGAAGACCCTGACAAGCGCATCTCGAGTAAGACACAGACTCTTGGCCTCCGCCTTCTACTCAGCAGGCAGCTAGGGCTTCCCTCCGCCATTTCTGCCTGCCTGCTGAGAAACCTGCAAGTTCTAGGGCCTGCAGGAACAGGCTGGGAGTCAGTTCACTCCCTCACCTCCTTGTGGTCCCCATCCCTTGGTTGTCTCTGAGGACACACAGCGAAGCACTGAACATAGACCCTGGGATTAAAACCTCCTGCTCTCACCCAGACTTTCCATCTCCTGCCTCCTAGTCTGTTCCTCTGACAAACGAATTGCCTGTGAGGAGGAGTTTTCCGACTCCGATGAGGAGGGAGAGGGCGGGCGCAAGAATTCTTCCAACTTCAAGAAAGCCAAGAGAGTCAAAACAGAAGATGAAAAAGACAAAGATGCTGAAGAGAAGAAAGGTAGGTCTGGATGTCCAGCACTGGGGTCTCAGCCCACGCCCTGCCACATCTGCAGGGATCAGGGGCTCCCAGAAGCAGCAGGGCCCACAATGCAGTGGCTCTCACATACCACCCAAGCGCTTTTCCCAGCACTCACCCCAGTTTCCCAGGGGGCTGCCTCCGCCCACCAAGCTCTGGCTCAGGCAGGCTGGAAAACCGGTCCAACCTGTCTGTTTTCAGCAGGGCTCACTGGGAGGGCCTGGGATGGGGTTTTCTCTTGTTCTAAGTCCAGTAAGCCATAGTGCTGGGAGGGGGTTTTGGGGTAAAGACTGTATGGGTCTCTCCAGAGGGGCTGCCCTTGATCATCCCTGCACTCTTATGTTCTAGAAGTCGCAGAAGAGGAGAAAACCAAGGAGGAGAAGCCAGAAGCCAAAGGGTGAGGAAGGAGCTGTCTGCCTTGGTGTTGGAGCATCAGCCCCTTTGTCCCACTGCTCTGAGAGGGAAGGCACAGGGACAGCTGGTCCCACTTACAAAGGCCTCTTTCAGGGACCAGTCTGTCTGTCTCTGCAGCTCTAGGCAGAGCTAAGAAGCCCCAGCCCCCGGCAGTCACCTGGGCAGCCTGGGCCTGAGGAAGTCATTGTATCCCCACTCTTGCCCCAAGGCCTCTGGGGTGGGTTATCTCATGCCAGTCTCTGCTTTCTCCACAGGGTCAAAGAGGAGGTCAAGCTGGCCTGAGCAGACTTCTCCAGATCTGGCTCCTGGCCAGCTTTCCCACCTTTCTCCCTTAACCCCTCAAGATTTTATATTTTCTATTTCTGTGTATTTATATAAAAATATATTAAATATAAATATCCCTGAGGACTAGACAAGAACCAAGGCCCTGAGGCCAGGGTAGCCAAGCTGGGTAAACTCATAGCCGCTGCCCTGCCAGCCATCCCTCCCCAGTTCGATTTTAAACCACGAAGGGCTCCAGGTGTGGGTAGAAGGGAGCTACAAGACACGCCGGGGTGTGTCCCTAGCAGGTATGGAAAGGTGCCCCCTGTTGACCATTCTAGGAGGGTAGGGGTGGCTGGGTCTTCAGGGACTTCCTGTTCTTTCCAGCCCCTAAGGTAACGTTAGCCATTTTTAGGTTGGTTCTGTTCTCGTCATACCGTCCCGCTGGCCTCAGGTGAGCCCCGAAACTAATGCTGCCCGCCCTCGGTCTTCCCCAGCTCTGCAGGTGGAGGCTGGCGGCCTAGCTTCCTTTTTGAGATACTATTTTCATTTTTGTGCGACTCTTTGTAATAAAATGGTACCTTTCTATACCCACCTGAGCCTCTGTTTCCTGGCAGTCCCTGGGTTGATGTCAGCTCTGAACTCCCTGCGTTCTGGTGTACGGGCAGGGCAGCCCTACGACGACAAAGCCCGTAAACTTACCTGCCTTCTAGTTTGCTCCTGGCTGGAGGTTAACTAGTGTCCACAGATCTCACCCCATCCCCAGAAGACCAGTCATTAAAGCACCACTAAAGGGACAACATTTATTCCTTTTCCAAAGGTTACAGTAAAACCAGGTGGAAGAGAATGGTTTTAGCAATTAGAAAAAAAAAGTACAAATCTGGGGTTTGGCCATTAAAAGTTATTTACAACAATGGGAGAAAAAGACAACAAGAAGTTGTTTCACATTACAGACTTCCCCCACCCCAAAGCCTAATACTTGCTTACCAAGTCAAAAAAGAGACACAGTTGATTCACAAGCTGGAGGTTTGAACTTGAGTAAGACATTTATAAAAACCCAGACAGGGGCAGTGTCCTCCCCAGCCCAGGTGCCACTAGGCACAGCACAAGAGACTAAAAACTCAACAGGGGGAAGGCTGGACACTCAGGGTTTGGGAGTATAAGCACCCCACTTCTGGCTCAGGGATTTGGGGGAGTAGGGTAAACAGAACCTACTTGGAAAAGAACCGAGGGAGAAAACCAGCAATTGCCTTCTGCAGGGCAGGGGTGGGGGGGTCAGGGGAGGGGGCTGGACCAGGAGCATTTCACATCACTAACCTAACTTGGGAAAATGTAAGGGACCATCTTCAGCTGGCCTTGCGAGGAAGACCAGATGGCTGATGGGAGAATCCACAGGAGGGAGAGGAGGAGAGGGAAGTGGTTGGGAGGGGGCAGCAGCCCCTCCTTTCTGGGCACAGGAAGGCAGCCAGGGCACAGGGTCCAGGCAGTGACCTCACAAGGACAGCACAGTTTTTTGTAGCTTAAGAGATCACCCGCCTGCCCCCACCCAGCTACTCATTCTGCTCGGCGCCGGCCGGTGTAGGGCCACTCTCCGGCCCCGAGGGAGTGGACGGCTCTGCTGGGGGCCCTGCCTCCTCTTCTGTGTCTCCTCCCTTGCAGGCAGCGCCAGCCTCTGCCCCCTTGGCCTGGGGCTCCTGGCTCTCCGGGGTGGCAGCGGCCTTCCCCTCCGGGGCAGTGCCCTCTTCGCTGCAGGCACCGATCTCGCCCTGCTCCTGCTCTTCCTCCGTGGGGGAGGAGGCAGAGGAGTCGCCCCCGCCCTCCTTCCGATTTCTCTTGAAGGACAGGCCGCTCAATTTGAAAGGCTTCTTGAAAGAGAATTTCTTCTTCTTCTTGGGGGTCTCCTTGGGGGGGGCGTCCCCCTTGGCCTCGGCGCCCTGGCTAGGGGGTGCTGGCTCGATCGCATCGCCAGTGGCCCCAGCTGCCTCATCTGTTCCGTTCACGGGGGGCGACTCCCCTTCACCCTTGGGGGTTAAGTCTCCATTGCTTTTCACGTGGCCATTCTCCTGCAGGGCAGAGGAGACAGCGATGAGGGCCAGGGCTCTTCCCCTCCCCAGCCCGCTCCTGGCCCCCTCCAGACAACAGGGTCTTCAGCCCCACACCGGGGACCCCTTCAGACATCTGCCTCTCGCCCCTCACAGGCGCGCAAAGGCCATGGCCGGCAGGAGGCGCTGGGGTCCCGGGGCCCCCACCCCCCTCCCCCGGGGCGCGCTCTCTATTCCGCACGGAACCGCTCCGGGCCGCGGATCCCGAGCAAGCGGGCGAGCCGTGCTGGGCGACATTGGGCGGGAAGCCGCCCCGGGGCGCTGTCTCTCAGCACCTGGACGGCCTATTTTGTCATGCTCCTGTTTTGTGGGAAGGTGGGTGCAGGGTCTGAGCCCTTACTGGGAGAACTGAGACAGCTGGGAATGTGTGAATGTGAGCCTTCCAGTCCGTCCCAGGATCACAATGTCCCTCCCATTCCTCCTTTCCCTGTCACTGTCCTGGCAGAAGTCCACACCTGAGAGGTTTGACTGCAACAGCCTCAGTGACCCCCTGTGGCCCACAAAGCCACCCTCCCGCCCCCACACTCACAGGTGCTCCCTGGCGGGGACACACGCCCTCCATGTGCACACCCAATCCCAGCCAGACAGTCAGCAGCAGCAGTCTGAGGAAAGGCAGGTGCACGCCCATGAAGTCTCAGAGTCACCAGGAGTCACCTCTCTCTCTCTCTTTCTCTCTCTCTCTCTCTCTCTCTCTCTCTCTCACTCTGGTTTCTCCCTGTACTATTCTTTAGTCCTACGACTACACAGTCTCACGTAGCCTCAGATATACACACCTTGGTT